GAGACATACAAATGAACAGCAATAAAAAAGAAAAGCTGAAGGCAGGAAAGAAAAAAATAGATCATCTTTAAATACCTGCCGAACAGGTATCCAAACACGCCCACAATGCTCAGCAGACACCTTTGTCACACATACATACAAACAAAAGAGTGTCTTTTGCTGAAACACACACTCGGCCAAACACGTCAGAACAAGTCTACACCACATATCTGACATTCCTCCCAGCCAAGAGGACAGTGCTGCTGATTTGTGTGTGTGTGTGTGCGATTGTGCACATCCTGTTCACACAAAACTGCATCTGCAGCCACGTTCTGCCTCTACGGCTCTTTAAGCACCACTGTTCACATGATCTTCAGTGTGCCGCCTTATCAAATGTTTAACAAATGCACTTAAGGCGGCAACAATTCAAACGAATAGGATCATGTAGTCAAAAGGCGAGTCAAAGGGAATTCCAGCAGACATATAACAACCGTGTCACAGTGTTTAAATGATTGCTTCTCACTATGAGGCAGATCTTAAATACAAGTAGAAATAAAGCCATCAGTCAAAGCCTACAAAATGAGACTTTCCAAACAAAATCCCCCAGTTTTAGCATCTTATGACACAATCAGAAAGGCTACTAATAGATTTTTTTGGTTGGAATTCCTTCTCAAAACTCAAAACGAAACTTCCAGCCTCAACTTGTAATCAACAATAGATTAAAACTCCTCAAAATGCACAACCTGGGGGAAATCTCTACCATTTTTTGTCCACCAATCTGTCTGCCCGACGATTAAATTAGGTTAAATTAATCCAAAACAACCCCAAAAACAACTCACAGGCTGTTTTGAAGAAGGTGTTTAAAAAGTATTTAAATGTTGTCAAATGCTCATATTTAAATGGGAAATAGGGTTGCAAGTAATGATTATATTCACTTCCATTCATCTGATTTATCTTCACAATTAAATCAGTTTGAGGTTTTTTTTCTTCACAAAATGTTAACAAAGGTCTGATTATTTTTTAAATTAAAAAAAATCATTAAATCAATAAATTCAGGCAGCATATTTATAAACCCAGTTTCTTACGTTTTTACCACTTTCCAACATCTAACAAATAAACTAATGGATTGATAGTGAAAATAACTGACAAGTAAAATAAGATATATTGCATTTAAAGGGGTTCCACTTTCTGTGTCACTGCAGCGGCAAACCAGATGTGTTTGTTTTTTGTCGATTAGGCCGACACACTTACATGTGATACTTTTTTGAACTAAAAACGCCCTTTTTAACCACGTTTAGTTCATCTGAACCTACATATCATTTGACCTGTAAATCACCAAACCAACGCTTTCTGAGAACTTGAGCTGAACATTTGTTTGCACGTGAATCTGTCTAACCCTCGAGAGATCCAATCAACTGTAAATGTAGGCCAGGGCTCCAGACTGCCACCAAACTGGCTGCATTTGCGACCATTTTGGTTGCCTTTATTTCTTTGAGAGTGTGCAAGTTGAAATTTCAAGTGGTCGCATTAGTGCAAGTGGATGATGATCATTAAGCTGTCTTGGTGTCACTGTAGCCGGCACAGGCAGCTAGAGTGTCAACCACAGTGGTGGAAAGCTGTACTTTTATGACTTTGGTGGACTGCGGTATTTCATGTTGTGAAAAACGGCGCACACCTACATTTGCTGTTTTTTCCGCTTATAGAAAAGACTGCATGTAGAAAAAAGTTCCTCTGTTTCATCTCAGATAACTCAAACCCTAGTTTATTTTTTTAAAGTCATTTTTGGTGGCGGGCTGCAAGGTGGCTCGGTGGTTAGCACTGTTGCCTCGCAGCAAGAAGGCCGCCGGTTCGCATCCCGGTGAGGACACCCACCGTGGTGTTTCTACGTGGGTTCTCTCTGGGTTCTCCGGCTTCCTCCCACAAGCTGTTTCATTACCCTTGTCAATTAACCTCAACATGTTTCCAAAAACATGTTGAGGTTAACTGGTGATTCTAAATTGTCTGTAGGTGTGAATGTGAGTGTGCTTGGTTGTCTGTCTCTAAGTGTAGCCCTTTGATAGACTGGCGACCTGTCCAGAGTGTCCCCTGCCTTCACCCTGAGTCAGCCCCCGCGACCTTAGTGAGGTGTATAGATAATGGATGGATAGATTTTTGGTGCCGCACCTGTCTGAGCACACAACAGCCACCATCTACCACAGCCTGCAATGTGGGGCGTTCAGGGAACATCGGTAAATTGCAGTGTCTATCGATAAGGAAATGTTCAGCGAGTGATGTGTTTTGCTTGTGACAACGAGGGAGGTGCGACCAAATGAGTAAGTTGGTCGCAGCGGTGCGACCAGTGAAAAAGTCTTGTGCGTTTTAAAAAGCGCGGGACACCAAATCTAGGCTCACTGGGGTTTGAGGTGAAAATTTGTTTGACTCATATTCAAATAGAATTTACATAAATCCTATTTATAGTTTTAATGTGAACACTGAAAAGTCAAAGCAAACCTTCACCCTGTTTAAAAAAACCAAAGCAATTCCTTGTTTTTTGATCTTCGTCTATTATCGCCTCATTTCTCACCAATAACTCACTTTACAACCAAATTCAGTCGGAGTTAATGAAAACTTATTTTGACCTGAAACGGTGAAAATTTGTTTGATCCATTTTTTATGCTGCAATTTTAACTGAATTTTTGTTCACTGGTTTAAAGCATCACAAGCAGCCTTTTGACCTCCTCACATTGTCCTATTCACTGGTCCGCTGAAGTTGAGGCAGAATTAGGAGGGAAAAAATGTAAAGAATGTCACTGACAAGCTCCCCTTTACTGTTTTTTAAAAGCTGTATGAGTTGAAGCATTGCACACAACATAATAATCAAGGCATCAGTGAAATCGCAGTAGTCTAAACAAGAAGCAGAAGTCCTAGATGTAATTTAGATTAAATCAAAATCAAATATAATTATTAGGCTGCAATATATTTGGCAAAGTTAACCAAATTCTAGACCTCCAACAGACTGTTTTTAGTAGTTTTTCTTGTTGTTTTGTTGTATAAAACATTAGAAAAGCTAGGAGGAGCGCCCATCACAGTGTCCTACAGCCGAGGTTAATTTTATCAAATGTCTTCTTCTTTTTTTTTCTTCTTCTTTTTTTTTAATATCAGCCCAAAAAATATTCAATTCACTATAATGGAAAACCAAGAAAATCTGCATGTTTTTACATTTGAGAACCTAAAACTATAAAAATGTTTGTAATTTCTGCTTTGAAAAATGACAAAATCATCAAAATAGTTTGCTGACTGTCTATTGACTAACCAATTAATTGCAGCTTGTACTGAGTTTTTTTTTTAGAAATTTAACTCAATCTAGCCTTATTTATTCTCCAATTTTGTTGAATGCTCAGGGGGGAAAAAAACAACAAAAAAACAATTAGTACGAGGGGTGAATATTCACTTGATTTCAAATCCAAACTGCAATTTAAAACGATGCGAATTGCAGAAGGCTGCGGTTTAGGATCTACATCATGCAGCACATCTGACCCAGAGTTTAAACTGTTGCGTGTCAGTGGTTTTACAAATTCATGTCGTCCTCCTCGTGTGAAACTCACGCTGATGATGGTATCTCATGTGCTAATGCTCCATCGCATCTTTTAAATCTACTACACAGTGAATATTGAACTGAAGCATGACGTTAAAAAAAACAAAACACTGCAAATCAAATCACAATATCTGTCAGAATAATCGCAATTACATATTTTAACCAGATCATTCAGCCCAATAGTGCTCTCAAAGTTAGCAAACATGTGCACTTTGACCTCCAGATCAATGCCTACTGGGTGGTCTGATTAATTGATTAACTACTTTTCCATATTGCCAACATGAACTTAGGTCAGACTCTCATGTTAAACCAACCCCAGTCCAGCTTGTTGCATAAGAAGCTTGCTATACATTTAGGAGTTATCTGTTTTCAGTGAACTGGTGGAAACTCACCACGAAACCCGATCTGACCACAGCTCTACCTGTGCAGGACTCTGATTGGTCTGTGTTTTCTACACTGTGTTGTCAGCTCGGGGTAACTCACCACATACCAGCTCACTACAGGCCCGGTGGCTGCGCGCACACACACACACACACACACACACACGCACACACACACATGCACACACACACATGCACACACACACACACTCCTGCACATAAAGTGTTAATTTTCTCTACCCCCAATGCACTTCCTGTATCACCACCAGAGCTGTCAGCAAACCTGCAGCCTGCAGAGATGACGAAGGCGACTTCAGCTTCATACGCCTAATAAAATTACACAACTCTTCCCAGTTGAGTGAAGTCTGAGGCAAAAGGGTAATATAGAAACCGTGGCTGCCTTGTCTCTGAACCTCACATGGCTGATCACATGACTGGAGCCAGATGAGCCTGAGATGGACCAGTGAATAAGAGGAAGTGATACTGGGAGCAGAGCAGCAACATTTGCTGCAGCACAGTGACACACACATGTGATTGAAGGGTGTCACTACAAGGGCCTGTTTATAAAACCGTTTTGTGCAGAGGTCCGTGTCTAGACACCCACCACCACCAACACCACGACTGGCCGTCCACCTACACGCAAACCCACCGTTTCACTGCTCCAATCAGATGTCAGGCTCGATGTTAGGGGAGAAAACAGCTCAAGAAATCTAACTTCCTGGTGTGTCTCCCTCCCACCTCTCCTGAGCCAAAACCAGACATCTCAGCTTTCACCACTCCGCCGACTCTTCTTCTCTTACATCTCACACTGTCTCTTCTGCCCGAGTGTTCTCACTCTCATTTATCACTGTTGGCAAGCACCTGCTTTGAGTTTGACACCTGCCTGCCAACACCAACACTCCATCAACGAAGGAGCCAACAGGTCACTGTAACAGTGTGCAGACCTGCGGCCCTGAACACAACAAACACACAAACAGGCAGCAACACTCTTTCAGACAGTGAACATCCGTCCACACACCCACAGCCATATGCAGCAGAGGGATTTGTGAATGAGCCACTGCTCTTACCTTGGCACTGGAATCCCTGCTTCCCAAAGCCCCTGTGGACAGAAAGACAGGGGTGAGAAATTTGGGGAATTCAGCAGACAATGACGCACACATGCAGATACATCCAATCACACATGGACACACACATAAACACACACACACACACACACACACACACAGCTGCTGCAGCAGCAACAACAGCGGGGCCCAGTGTCTCCAGCAGCATTCCTCCACCAGACCTCCACTGCCAGAGGTGGGTGTCGGGAGGTCGATGCGGTAAACGCCGAGCAGCAGCAGCTGCTCTGCGGCTGCCGACAACGCATCATCCCGCCGACAGGCCCGCGGTTCTGTCGCATTGTGGAGGTCTGGGGGGGAGATGGCGCACCGCGCTGCTTCTCATGACAATGACAATGAATGAAAGACTGCGGTGTCAGAGTGGAGACAGGCCGATACGAGCCGCAGCAGCAAGTGAATCACCTGTGTCCTTCCCCCCGCTGCCCCACTCACCAGATGAAGTCCGTGCAGTGGCTGCAGAAGGTGGGCTGCTTGAAGAAGCGCGCGATGAACTTGTGGTTCTTCACCTCGTGCACATTCTTCTGGCGGAGGGCTCCCTGACGGGCGAAGCCGCGCGCGCTCTCCGGTACCTCTCCGTCGCTGTTGGGGTCAGCCATCTTAACGAGGAAGCGGCGGCGGCGGTGTGAGAGGAACGAGGGGTGAGGAGAGCGAAGAGAGAGAGGGAGAGCCGACGGAGGCGGCGGGGGAGAACGAGCGGCGGTGCAGGTGCCTCCTCCTCCTCCTCCTCCTCTTCCTCCTCCTCCTCCTCTCCGCCCCGCTGGCCGCCTCGGTGTCGCTCGTGCTGCCGGTGTATTTGTGGGTCTGCGTCCAGCTCGCGCTGAAGCTGCTGCTGCTGCCTCCGGTGGGTTCCCGTGCCGCGCGCCTGTTTCCCTCTTCTCACCGGTGCGCTGCTGCTGACAAACTCTGTCTGTCCGTCCGTCTGCCTGTCTGTCTGTCTGTGACTCTGTGTCCCTGTCTGTAAGTCTCTATGTGTCTCTATACATCTCTAGTTCTGCCTCTGTGTCGCTCTGTTTGTCTCTCTCTCTCCTCTCTGTTGTCAGAACGACCACATACTTGTACATATGCTTGTGTTTGTCACACTTCTGAGACACTCCTTCCGTGTCAACAGCAACACGAGTCAAACCACAAGTCTTTCATACTTTCAGAGTGTGACTAAAGAAGACGCCCACATCAGGCTGGAGCACTAATTTAACAAAGCCAATATCTGCCCCCAGGGGCAGATGGTTGTGGTCATTTCATTACTGAAGTAGGTCCTTCATGCTTTGCTAATTTGATGACCCCATCTTGTCAAGTAGCCACATGTCAACGAGCCTGACCGGCAGACCAGTGTGGATCCAGAACCAAGCTGATGGACAGAGCTACTGAGGAGGGAGGACGGTCCACAGGCTGGTGCTGGACCTGCAGCTGTGTAGAGCAGAAGAAACTGAGGAAGACTATTTGAGAGTTTGAGGAAGATTTCTGTAATATTTTTCTAAACCAAAAATCTAGCTTTGGTTATAGAACTTGTTTCAACGAGTGTTCCCTTCAAGTCCATCTCCAGTCAGTTACTTAACCCCTAAATCAACAGCTGGAGTTAAGAGTTAAACACAATCTACTCTACGCCACACAGTTGTAAACTGTCGTATTGCAGTGATTCACTAAAACACGCTCGAGCTTTACACTGATTTGAAAGAAGAAGAAGACAGAAAGTTCCACCCTGCTTCCCTAAATGGGTGCAGGCATCCTCAGTGTGGTAACAACATAAATCAGAGCAGCCGTGAGAAGCATAACAACCATCAGAAATCTTTATTTTTACTCACTTTTCTTAGGTTTTTCCTTAGTCTTGCCAAATACTGGACCTCTTCAGGCCAGCAACATAAATCTAATTGAATGCTCAATCGAACTAACAAAACATTGTGAGAAGAGAACAGCTCACAGCTCATAGGTCAAGGAAAAAACTGTGATGAGCAGCCTTGAGTCATAAAAAGGTCGTAAGACCTGCTGTTACTTTCATGTTGATTGTTGCAAATTCCTAAAGGTCTTTATAAAATGTATTTGTTTCAACCCTTAAAGTCCCTCTCCGGTCGTTGAATAAACCCCAAAATCTCATCATGGTGTATCAGAGTTACACATTTAGACATTTTCTATAGCATTTATCCCGTTATCAAGGTTTGAATGCTCAGCCATGAGACTTCCAGCACATAAAAACCCCGTATAGACTCATTGACAAGGTGAAAAACTTGATTATCACCAGAGGATCCTTTAGTTCTAATGGCAGGTTACTCTAAAAAGTACCGTTTTATTGTAGGTGGATGTTGTATGATGCTTTGAGGTGAGGTTACAAGAGATGTTGTTTTGTGACACTGCTTCCATGATGAGCAGCTTGGATGAAGACTTATAGTTTGTTCTTTTTTTAATGTTTATTTGTTCTTGTGTTTATTTTTTGACCCTGTATGTATGTGTATTATTATGTTTATCAGTTTTTCTGCTTTTTTTTTCTTTGATTATTGTACTTTGCTAATTCTGTATTTTTTATGAATATATAGTTTGAGATAATAAACTAAATATCTAGATTTAATGTTACCCTTTGTTTTGTTGAATTGATCATTTTCTGTTGTTTTTATTTTCACGTCGCTAACGCACCAGGCTTTGAACATTTTGTTAGAGTTCTGCTTTACTGTCTGAGCTGCTTTTCACAAGTTATGCCAGGTACAAACATCATGATATTGGTATAAAATATCCCAGCCTGAGAGAAGTGTGCTGTCAGGACTGAAAATAAGCACAGAGCATAAAAATATTATCCTGTCAAGTGTGTCACTGTTGATGGCAACTGATGCAGCATCTGGAACGCCTCGCTTTGTCCTGGCAAAAAGACGGGCATGTCAGAATTTTTTTTTGTAATGTTCTCTCCAGTCATGTGACAACATCTGCATTAGGAGCCAAAAGCAGTCATCTGCACACAACATAATAAGGTCAGAGACACCCTAAAGGACAGGAAACCCAGTGTGTCCACTTAGTGCGACCCGCCGACGAGTCCACAGTTTTCTTTTCTCTTTTGTGCTTCTTTTTAAAAACCTGAATTATTTACACTATTCTTTGTGTATATTCTTGTTTCCAGTAGTCGGTCCCTGTAATCTCCTTCATGATGACAGGTCGTGAAGGAAGGCAACGTGTCATGTGTCTCAGCCAAGACAGCGATGATTTAGGACAGTAACTGGCGATGACAGAATGATCATCTTATCACGCTAAACCTTGTGTAGTTGGAAATAATAACACAAACATTAGGACTGGATCACTCATCTCACAAAGCAAGCAACTCCAAGGGCCCCAAAAGCTGTGTTTCGTCAGTTTATATACATTTGTTATTGACAGATTTACTCAAACATTGATCATCTCGTCACAATGTTCTGCTGGGAAACCTTGGCATTCATGTGAATGCTGCTTAACCACCCACCTAAAACACTGCTGCACACCAAGCACACCTACCAACAGCAACAGTACTCCCCAACGCCAGCAGTCTCCCCAGTTATATATATTTGTTTCTGGTGTTTATTCCCTCGTTTGTCCCCGTCTGCCCCCTCTGTCTTTATGCCTGTTGGTGCGGTGCTCTGTTCCCTGTTGCTGCCTGCAAACCTGAGGTTCATGTGCCATTCAAGACCAGCAGCTCCTCCCTGCACCCTCCACCAGACTGTTCAGTTCGCCAGTGTGCTACTAACATCAAGGCTAACTGTCTGCTGTAGTTTGCTTGCTTTAGTCTTTCTTTGTCAAGGCAACTAACACCGTAGTCTCAGATTGAATCCGTCTCTTATCAGGAAACCTGTCTTGTTCATACTCCACCAGCTTCATTCTCCATGCCACGAGTGCAGTACAAGTCCAAACAGCCCATTCTCCAGAAATCCGTCCTCACTTTTTGGAAATTCAAGAATAATTGTTCAATAAATCTGTTAACCAGTTTTCTAGGTTGAAATCTGAAGACTAAGTTCTCCATTTCAGTCCTCACCTCCTTTGGTCTTAACAAACATGTCAGTGTGCCCTGTCACAATACAAAACTTGCTCGAGGAACGGGACATAGAGCCTTAGGTGTCGATCCTGCCTGGTCAGAGCTGTGTTAGTGGCACGAGGGGGACCGACATTATATTAGACAGGTAGTTTTAATGTTGTGGCTGCTTGCTGTATATATGACAGATCCTGATCCTTCTGCAACAAAGACAATAAGCGTATTTCCCCAAGTGTTCTCAAATATTCTTTAACTTAAAACAGAAGCAGATGGTACAAACATGCTACACAGAGGCAGGTAGGTGCATGTAACAGCTCATACAGCAGGTTAATCGGATCACGCACACTCACAAGGCTGCAATACCCCAACCAAAAATCTGCAAGTCATTTGATTCTGGTGCTTTTACTATTTGTAGTTCTGTTGGGGAATTTCCACCACCAAAGCAGAACATCATGACTAATTCAGGCTTTGAATTATTTGTAATTATGTTGGCCTGTTTTGTAAAGTGCGGGCAGGGATCCTTGATGTGGGAACACGATAATTTAGAACAGTCTTGAGATGATTAACTACTATCAGAAATGTTTATTTTTCTCACTTTTCTCAAGTTACTCTTTTGTCTTATGAAATTCAGGCTTGTAACGAAATGAAACATTGTGAGACAGGAACAGAACTTGCATACACAGACAAAATACAAACTGTAATGAGCAGCCTTGAGTCACGAAAAGCCTGAAAGACTTGTTGTTATTTCACTTTGGTGCTGCTTGTTGCTTTTTATTAAAGGCCTTCTTCAATTTGTATTGTGTTCATCTGTTGCATATTTAAAAAAAAAAAAAAAAAAAAAGAGGCGTCATGGTTCATAGATGTGAAGGATGTCAGACACGTAGTCTGCAAGACCAAATAAAAACAATCTGTAATCAATACAGGACTTGACATGCGACCAGTGTGAGGACTTTAAACCTGGAGCAAGTCTGATGAGTGTCTGACACGTCTTTCAGTGATTTAATCATAGAAAATGAAGAGTTGCAGGAGTGACTGGAAACTCAAAACGGTAACAATATACATGAGTCACTTGTGACCTGTGTCCAGGATAATCCGGACCATCTGATCTACAGGTCTGGCAGAGGCGTTGAAGATGCAGTAGACACCCTGCTGAATATGGTTTTAAGACATTTTGAGGGAGCTGGGTCCTTCGCTCATCTTTTATGTACTGATTTTTCATCCATTTTAAACTGCATTCAGCCACACATTTCAGCAGATTTTAAGAGACTTCCACAACATGGATTCTGGTCTTGTAGCCTGACTGACTGACTTTTTAACAGCGAGGCCACAACGTGTTAATGGTGTTCTGTCAGACACTGTCATCTCCTCCACTGGATCACTCCAGGGCTGCGTCCTTTCACCCTTATTATTCGTTTTGTACACAAATGAGTACCACAGCCAACATGTAGACGTCATATTGTCAAATTTGTGGGCGACTCATTTATCATGTCCCTGCTGAGCGCTGATAATCCTGATCACAGACCTGTAGTGAAGGAATTCACAGACTGTTAGAGGTCTTCCTTCTTAAATATTAACATAGAAAAAGAAAAGAAATGCTTATTGACTTTCAGAAGAATCCTCCAGACATCTCTCCTGTCAGCGCTGAGAACCAAGCAGTGGAGCTGGTCAATCACTACAGATACCTTGGCACTCACTGTGATGACAAGCTGTCCTTTGT